AATTATAAACTTTATTAATTTTATTTAAAAGAGGACAACTTTTAATAGAGAATTAACATCAAACATGCATTATTTTTCGAACGATTAATGTCAACTTGTAGTAAATCTTTTTCTTAATAAGATCAAAAAATAATTTTTAAAATTGGACTTATCATAAAGCCGTAATCATTAAAATAGCAAAGTAATTTCGGATATAAAAATGATTGAAAAATATGATTACGATATCCCCTTTCAAGACGTTCCGTGTTCGTACCAAAGGATGGGTGTTGTTACCTTTCTCGTCTACCTAGTATTGAAATCTGGCCAGATACGGAATAAGGGTACGTATAGGATCGAACTTAAATTTAGTGTTGCTCGGTTGGTGCGAAGAGGGAAATTTTATTACATGAGATAATTTTGTTTTCAATATAGAATTTGCAATGCTTCAATATATTTAAAACATAGTTTGATTAGAAAAAATTAGGTAGAAGAATTATATTTGTATAGTAGGTATATATTATATTTTTTTAAATAATTCATTTTGCAAAGAATATCAACTAAGCTAGTAATATAACAAAATCAGCCTTATAAATAATGTATTTAACAAATGTTTCATATTATATTAATAAATTACATGTTTTCTGACTTATCTGTGAATGAAACGTGGAGAAAATAGTTTTTCCCGATTTTGTTGCTGTCTGCTGTTGTAGTGATCTGATAATTTGTAGACTGTATAATTGTTTACAGAAAAATATTTCCTTGGATGCCCTCTTTTCAGCATATAATAAATAAAGCAAGAAGATGACTTAATATATTATTTTGTACAAATATATAAAATAATTTAATTTACACTATTTAACGTATAATAGTATTTTGCAATTTTTACAATACTTACGAATGCCTCTGATTCGTAATTTATGCTATTAGTCTAAGAGAATGAAATTCAGAATTATTTCGGTCTATATATTGACTGAAACTCAAAAAGATATTCTTATAGAAATAATGTTTTAAAAACTGAGGGAACAGAGCCGAAGTGTTTTGTTACTATCCGGCTTTGATTGGTCCTAATTTCATGATGGCTGCCGTTGAATGATATTATCATATTTTGTTGTTTCTAACTTTAAGATATAAATACATATTTTCTCTTTTTGATGTCCACGATTTTAAAAAGAGTTTTTTTTGCTTTTAAAATAAGTGAATATTATAGAAGGACAAACAAACGCCAAAATTGGCGTAATATATTATGAACAGGGGCGGTTTCTCCATTGGTTCATTTGTGCAGTGAACACCCAGTTAAATTTCATAAAAACACATTATTTTAATATTACATAAATAACAAAAATATAAATTTAATTTTAATATTTTTATTTTCATACGTGTTATTCTATATTTTTTTGTACATCATTGTCCTCTGGCTGATCGCGTCTCTGTATCACAGTATACCTAAATAAACTGTGTCTGTGGCGCATTATGATGAGTGAGCCTAACACGAGTGAGACGATATGCCGAATGCATATAGCCAAAAAGAGAAGACAACACGCCAACAGATCCTGCAAACTGTCAAAGAACACATTAATTGGCGCGCCGCTCACAAACAATTATAAGCAAACATCAATCTCTAAAAGGAGAAGAAGCCCTTTCATTATAAAAAAATCTGATTAAATATGGGGGATTTAAGGGGAGTTGAAATTAAAAAAAAATCAAAAATGAAATGCGACATCAACATGAAAGTTTTAATAAAAATCAAGGTCTATAAGGAGATGAGGCCTATTAATTGTGAAAACAATCTGCTTAAAAATGGGGGTTGAAGGGGTCTGTTAAACTGCGAAGAGTATCATTTAAAATGCCAGGCATTATATATCTTTATTCTAGTTTGTGTCTGTGTAATATTATGTATTGTGATGAGACTGATCTTATAAAATAAACAGTTAAAACATTTTAGTTCTTATTTTATTTGCAAATAAAAGGTATTTAAAAAATATATTTTTTATTTAACATCTGTGATAAATTGTGAAAATGATTAAACTAAAAAATGGTAGGTAAAGTTTCATATAAAATTTTTTACACAAAAATCATTGTCAAGCTTTCCACATAACCTGATATATATTTAAAAATAATTGCCTGCAATACGTATACAAAAATATTTATTGTTGGTTTCCACAGTTTCATCTAAATAAAAATATTGTCAAGTTTTAACACCTAATCTCTTGTTAACGATTGAAAGTGTTCTATCTGACTCAATAATTAAAAAAACAAATGCGTGGTTTATTAATATGGCTGTACAATATACCAATGCAGAATATACCGATATGTTACTGACATTAGGATTTTGTGAATGAAATGCTCGAGAGAGTGTCAGGGTGTACGCTGAAAGGTTTCCAAATCGTCGTGTACCTAGCCACCCAACTTTTGCTGCTGTTGAGAGACGTCTTCGAGAGACCGGTTTCTTTGCTCCCAACACTGTTGATAATGGAAGAGAACGTTTGTAAGGATTCCTGAAGTTGAGGAAGACATTTTAGAACGTGTTGAAGAAAATCCAGAATTAAGCACCAGACGAATTGGAAGGGAACTAGGAGTAAGTATAGATGTCGTTCATAAAGTTCTTAGAGAACAATTGCTATATCCATACCATAAGAAGCCAGTACAAGAAATATTAGTCCATGATCCTCAAATTCGTTTGGATTTTTGTCGATTTGTTAATATGCAAAGAGAAAGAGATCCAAACTTTGTCAAGAAGGTTTTTTTTACCGATTAAGCGGGTGTTACAAGAAGAGGTATAACTAATACCTATAATGAAAATCCGCATGCAATAAAGGTAAACCATTTTCAGTACGAATTCAAAATTAATGTGTGGGCTGGAATAATTGGTAATTTGATTGTTGGTCCTGTCATACTTCCACGAAGATTAACTGGAGAAAATTATTTGGATTTTCTACAAAATACGTTGCCAGAATTGTTAGAAGATTTACCTCTCCAACTTCGGAGAGATATGTGGTTTATGCAAGATGGAGCTCCACCACATCTTTCTTTAAACGTTAGAAACCACTTGAATGAAAAATATCCACACAAGTGGATAGGCAGAGGTAATGACGCACCTGTAAACTGGCCACCACGTTCCCCAGACCTAACACCGATGGACTACTTTTTATGGGGACATCTGAAATCCACAGTTTAGAGGGAACCTGTAGAAAATGAGGAACAACTCTGGCAACGTATTAAAGATGCAATAAACAATCTTAGAGGTGATGAAGAAGTTATGGAAAGGATACAATTTAATTTTCTTCGACGTATAAATCTTTGTATGCGTGAAAATGGTGAACATTTTGAACAATTTTTGTAAAATCTCTATTTTCATTATGTTGTAAATAAATATTTTTGTGAAACCTATACACTCTAAATTATTAAAACAGAAATTTAGCGAAAACCATGAGAGTAATCGAGTTTTATCAAGAGTACCTTTTTTAAAGTAAATGAATTGCGCAATCTAAATTTCATACTCAAACTCCTTTTCTTTCATTGGCGTAGAATTTTTAAAGGTGCAATTATTTAAAAAATCAAGTTCTACGCCTATGTATTATTATCGGACAAAATTTTAATACTGTTTTTTTGCCACATAAAACTCTACCAATTTTCCAAATTTCAGCAAAATCGCATATGCCGTTTTAAATTTATATGGGAAAAACGATTTAAAATTGTAACTTCAAGGCCCTCTGGAACCCAAACGAAGCAACTTTGTACAAAGGTAATTTTACTTAAATCGACTTATTTTGGTCTAAGGAATATGTGGTATGTTTTTGTAAAGACCTTTTACAGACACCCTGTATAATGAAATTATTGGAAAAAGTGAACACCTATTTTAAATTACCACAAGCCGCCACTGATTATGAACCCTGTACATCAAAATTTTTTTTTCATTTTTAGATATGGTGTAAATGTATCACAAATTATATAATAATTTAATTTTGTTTTTGTAAAGAGCAGCGCGTTTGACTAAACAGCTCGATATTGTTTTTTACAAAATAGGCATACGAAATGTATTTAAAATGATCGGTTATTTTTTTTTTTTTTTGGTAACTTAATTGGACCCAGTACTACAAATAAATTAGTTACAGATGACCTGCAAATAAATATAGGTATTATAGCGTTTTAACAGTACCTAGATTAAAATCAAAAATATTAAAGAAAATACTTTTAGAATAAATAGCGGCTTTGTACAAACATCGTACTATTAATGCTATTTGAATTTTTGGAGCTAATTACTTTTGTTTTTTATTTTTTAATTTTTGAATAGCTTCTAAGATGTAATCAGGTTCTCTTAATGACATTCCCCGATTATGCCTTGGATCTACCATTTCTGGAAACATACAGTTTATATAAAACTTTTTTAACTTCTCCTCCATATTTTTACACTAGAAATCGTCTCTTTTTATTATATAGTTCACTCTAAGTGGATAATTGGGACCTGTTCATACACCAAAAATACATCCTTTTCGTACTGTAATATGTAATTGGCCTTGTATTTGATAATACCCATTGATGGTGGATATTAATGTCAAAATTATTGGTGTCTTTATTAAAAATCCAAAAGGGTATTTTTTTCAATTTAATCGCCTCTCCTACCTGCATTTGATATGCAGCGTATGGACATTTTATTTCAACCACTAATTCATCTCCTACAATGCCGCCTGGAGTAGCATTTACAAATTTAAAAATTATTATTTTCATTTAAAATGAACTAATTTGCAATCTGTTATAGTTGAGATGTGAGTAAAAATGTGAACTGATCGTTACGTACCTAAATATGGATATTTTTTTGTCAATAAAAATTCCACAATCTCTAATCACTATATTTTCCTGCTCTTGAAGCTATCTCTTTTAATTTCTATTATAATGGAGCGGAATTTTATCTTTTTGTAAATTTACTGAAGTAGTTTAAAATTATAAAAATCGAGAAGCAGATACTTGAAATGATATAAAAACCTATTTAATGATTTCAATTAATCATTTTAAAATTATTCCATCGTTAGTGGATCATGTGGTTATATAATTTAATAGTTTTGTCCGCCATTGTAGCTTTGGGGTAAGTAGGTCTTTTAAAAAAATTGGCCAAGTTGTATTTGTGCAGTAGTGTTCTGTACCGTACCTAGTTATATTAAAATAAGTAGAGTTGATAATAATTATATTGATAGATATCAGATACAAAGTATAAAAAAAATAAGTAATGTTGATAATTTTCATTTAATTTACACCTTATTGTCAATATTCGAGATTATTTCACATTTTTTTGAGCGTTGCTTTTGGAGATAAGTTGGGGACAATTTTTAAGCGTTTTTTAAAACGAGTTTAAAGAGAAAGTAACGCAAACGAATCTAATATATATTTTTCAAATCGTTCCTTAATAGAGCATTCATTTGATAGCCCTCAAAAATTTATTTTTCTAACTTTACTCCTTTTAGTCTTCGACGTGCATTTAAGGGCGGGCGTGGGCAATGTATTTAACATAGGCATACACAACGCTCTTTCAATGACTTTTTAGCTGAAACTACAACAAAGAGAAAAGTGAAAAAATTCCTGCCGATAATAGATACATACTACTGTTCAATAAAGGTTTTTGGTGTCTCTAACTATCAGGGATCGTTTAAAAATAATTCCCAAAATATGGTAATTTTTACGATGAAATAAAGCTAAAAATATACCAGTAATAATTACCCGATGATGAAAATAATTCTTTAAAGTTGAAGGTGGTAGCCATGTGTGAGTTATAAGTTCAAAAAGGTAAATCAAACAAGGGTGGTCCTTAGGATCTCACAAGAGTATTTTATTAACGACCGGTTTCGAGGATCAAATCCTCATCATCAGGTAAGGTCTAAAAATAGAGAGGAAAAACGAATGAGCTCATAACTAATAAGTGGGTTTAAAACATTTTAATATGAAAGTTGTCAAATATCAAGAACTCACCCGTAATTACTCATCTATTTAAGACTAAGCTAGTAGAATTATCCCAGGGTAAAAACTTTTTTAAATTTGTTTGTCTTAATTGTTCGTCCGTTTTTGAAATATTTTAATAATTTTATTAATAGTTTTAGACCTACTTTTGTTTATGTGTTTTGACATCAACTTTTTGTTGCAACTATTGTTTTTTTATATTTTTTATGTATTTTAAAAAATACTCGCATACTTGTTTTTACACCGACCCTGGGATAATTCTACTAGCTTAGTCTTAAATAGATGAGTAATTACGGGTGAGTTCTTGATATTTGACAACTTTCATATTAAAATGTTTTAAACCCACTTATTAGTTATGAGCTCATTCGTTTTTCCTCTCTATTTTTAGACCTTACCTGATGATGAGGATTTGATCCTCGAAACCGGTCGTTAATAAAATACTCTTGTGAGATCCTAAGGACCACCCTTGTTTGATTTACCTTTTTGAAAATAATTCTTCTTTGAATAGGCTATATACTAAAGCAACAAATGTCGTTTAAAATATTTAAATTCTTTGAGTCAATTTCCTTAAAAGCTCATTAAAGTAAATTTTGGAAGAAATTATAAATCGCCATTTATATGTAAAAATTGCATAGAATATAAAAGAAAACTTCTTAAAATTCATACAAGTAGCCACAGGTTAATTCGGAGCTTCTCTAATAGATGGCGCTAAAGTCGACTCGAAATAAATTCAAATACGCAGGTTCTTATTTAGGAGTTTACTAATTAATATGCATATTATTTCAATTATTAAACATATTTAATATTTGCGTAAGAGCATGAAGGATATGTAAGTAATGAGAGAAAGCCTCTTTGAGATATTGATTTTACGTTTTGTGGTCCGGAAAATGTCTGTACGGAAGTGGTAAAAATTTAGAAAAACGACTAAACGGCCTCTTAGCAAAAATCGATTGCTTGCTTATTTTGTTGGATATCGGAGCCAGAGTGCTAATGGTGCCTTTAGTTGTTTTATAAAATTGAATATTTCAAATAATTATACAAATCTAATATGCTTAAATGTATTTTTTTTTTCAAATTAGGTTTTAACTTTCATGTATCCAGTAAAATATAGGATTGTTTTTTTTTTTCGACTTCTAGTTTTCAACTGTACTTTAGGTTTCGAAGATAATTCAAAAATGAATAAACAGTAAATTTTAAATTTCAAATTTAATCTAATAAAAGTTATATAGATTTGAAAAATAGATATTTAAAAAATATTTTTGGATATACAGGGTATTGCGTTTTTCCTGGCAAATAAAAATGTATGTATTTTATTTTATTTTTAGAATATTTTAGTAATACTGTATTCAATCCTTGAATATTTTTATAAAATATTACAGTATTGACAAGCATTATTTTTTTTTTGAAATTAGAGAATGATGCTGACCGCATATTAAATTATCATAATTTAGGTAGGTTTACATTGATCTCAAAATTGTTTAATATACATACTTATAAGATACTAAGCTAACGAATAGTGAAGATAGAACTGATTTTAAGTTCAATTTACTCAATTTTTAAAATGCATCATCGTGTATATTATCTTATCATAACATTCCTTAAAAATTTGTCTATACAACGATACCAATATGTTAGCCAATAACACATGTATATTTGATAGATAGCTGTTTTATTATTAGAAAAACGACGAAATTTTTAGTATAAAAGTTGTATGACTATATTTAACAATTATTTCTAAATATACAGGGTGGTCCATAAACGAGGTGCGAACCAAATCTATACTTTTTAAAAGCAAAACACCCTGCAGGTTGTTTGTTATAAGTTATAGGATTTCAAAAAGGAAAAACTTGTATTTCGTGCAAAACTTTTTTATTAATCAATGCAAAGCGCTTTCGGCTTATTTGCCATCATCAGTGCTCATCTACAAAAATTGTGGATGTAAACTTACAATTTACAATTTACAATTTACATCCACAATTTTTGTAGATGAGCACTGATGATGGCAAATAAGCCGAAAGCGCTTTGCATTGATTAATAAAAAAGTTTTGCACGAAATACAAGTTTTTCCTTTTTGAATCTAAACTACGTGCACACAGCTGTCAACCTTTTTTGGTTTTTTTAATTATAGGATTTCGTTTAAAATTTTAATTACGGATTTGTTGTTGCAAGAAGCAAAGACAAAAATGGTATCAAAATAAGGATGTGCTTAATCCTCGCCAAGTCAATATGCTTGTTGATTCAACAAACAGGATGAAAATAAGAGGTCAATGTTTTAATTACATATTTCATGTTTAACGCTGAGACAGAGAACAAAACGAATGGCATTAGATGAAGAATGGGTGGTTACTTTAGTGGAACAGCCTAATAACTTTGATGTTTTTAAATATGTATCATCGAAATTAACTTCTATATCAACTAAGGAAATTTACAGTGCAAAAGTAGAGGCCTTAAAATTAACAGTAGACGAAAAGGGTCAAACGACTTTTTAGAGTTTTTTAAGTATTGTTGATACTCCAGATTTTTATAAAGAAAATACAATGGACAAAGACAATCAACAGAAAACTCAAAAATTTATTAGCAAAGGATGTGGGTAGAAGCATTAATTATGCCGAAATATTTTTAGTTTGAGCTGACAGCCTCTCCGATGCATCTAACAGTAAATGGGTATCTCGGCACCTCCACAAATAAGAGTTCATTGGAAAATATTTTAGAACAATATGGCATTTACTCACAAAGACACTTACTTGCACCTATTGACTCTGGCAAAACTTGTCACATTTTTGATGGGATGGCAATAGTCCAAGGTTTAGGAAAGTCCAAAAGTTGTATATCATTTAAAGAATATGCTAATGTATTTGTAAACGTTATTTTTAGAAATAAATTTAATGCTTAAAGGATTGATGTGGTATATGATCATTATAAAGAACATTCTATCAAAAACTCGTCAAAAGAGAGGATCCCAGAAATCAATTGATATAGAAATTGACCGACCCAATACACCACTTCCGCAACAATGAAACTTGTTTATTCATTCGATATTTAACAATACACGTTTAACAAATTTTCTGTCAGAGCAACTTCTTCAAAATTCCATTCAGCAAAAGCATATTTAATTTGTAACTAGTGGTGGATTCGCGAATATCAATAAATATGGGACGAATTTTGAACTATCAAAAGATGATTTCTTAAATTCAAATCATAAAGAAGCTGATACTCGTATCTTATTGCACATATTGTTAGCCAAAAATTCGGAGCATTCATGCTGCATTATTGATTGCAACGATACAGATGTTCTAGTCTTAAAAATTAATTTCAAGAAGTATTTGACTAAAGAGATATGGTTCAGAACAGGGCGAAGAGACTCAAGACGATTTCTAGCAGTACATGATTTAAATTTGGATGGTATCTTCTAAAAAATTTGCCTGCTTTTCTTTCTCTGACCGGTTATGATGCAACCAGCCAATAGTCTGGCATTGGGAAAAGAAAACATATTCTCTAATCTTGAAAAATGTTTCATAAAAATGTATTTAAAAACTGCCAGTGTTACTTCCATTAACATTTTGAGGGGATTAATGGCCTCTTTAAAAACCATTGCTAAATTGCCACCGACTGAAGACGACCTAAGATAACATTGTTTAAGATGTTTTTACCAGCTAAATATTTGGCTAAGCTCTTTAAAGCCGCAGATGCAGCTTCCTAATGTTAAAGAGTATGAATAGAAAGTAGATCAAGATGGAAGGCTGATACCCACTCTAAGACTCTGTCCGACCTGCCACCAGACATAACAGAACTTACATCATGCAAATGCAAAAAAGGTACTATACACCGATAATTTTCATAGATGTACAATATTCTAATAATATTATTCTGTTCTAGACTAAGAAAGCAAAATTTGTAAATGCAGGAAAAAAATATTGGCTGTATCGGTTCCTGCACCTACCTGTATGGCACAGAAAAACTGCAGCAAAAGTTTGATCACAGCCGCTAATGTTTTGGAAAATGTTGATTCGTGTGGTGAATCTGATTCTGATTAGTTTAAAAGTCTTGTACTTATAAATTTTAATAATATTAATTTATGCTTTATATCGGGTGTTCAAATTAAAGTGTTACAGCTAAATACCGCCTATTATAAAA